CTAGCGGGGTACAAATAAAGTTTAATAATAATAATAATAATAATAATAATAATAATAATAATAATAAAGTTCCTATAAAAAGAAACCCATCTTGTAAGCCACACAACTGTGTCTTTTCCATTTTGATTGCCTCGCTGCATCATATGGCTCTGTGGTTTGTACTTTGGTAAGAGATAATAGAAGAACTTTAAATTCCCCTCACTAAACTGAGGTGCTAAACTTGTTGAACAAAAGGTCACAGGTTTGAATCCAGAGAGCAGTGTGAGCCTCCGCTGTCAGCCCCAGCTTCTGCCAAGCTAGCAGTTCAAAAAATGCAAATGTAAGTAGATCAATAGGTACCGCTCCTGTGGGAAGGTAACAGCACTCCATGAAGTCATGCTGGCCACATGACCTTGGAGGTGTCTACAGATAATGCCAGCTATTTGGCTTAGAAATGGAGATGAGCACCAACCCCCCAGAGTCAGACATAACTGGACTTAATGTCAGGGGAAAACCTTTACCTTTACCTAAACTGCAAACCCTATGATTCCATGGGATGTGACCATGTCAGTTAACAGGGAATCAGGTTATCATAATTTATCTATCATACCTAGGCCCAGAAGCAGATGAAAGCCCCTCCTCTCTTAGTCCCATCTTGCCACTGCCCTGGTCTCAAAGGAAGAGAAGGAGCAGGCAGAGCTCCATCATGCCTAGGCCCAATGCAGATGTGAAGTTCTCCATCCACCCCAACTGCCATTGACCTAGCCTCAGAGGAAGAGAAAAAGAGGAACACAGTAGCATCATGTCCAGGCCCAAAAGCAGAAGAAAGGCCCTCCCTCCTTTCCAATTACTACTGCCCTGTCCATGGAAAGAGACACGAAGATGCAATATCTGCTGGATGGCCTTTTTCTTTTGTGTCATATCTTACTTAGATCATGAGTCTGATGGCAGGGAACAATTTTCTTCTTTTACTTACAATGATGGCACTATATAATCAAATGATGGTGATGGGAATGATAACAACAACATGTGAAAGGGCCCCTGGAAACTTTTAGAATACCTTTTTTGTTATTTTGTTTTAATTTTGGACTGGAGAAAAGGCATTCTTGGTGGTCTGGAGGTGCTGACAGTTGCAAAAAAACACCTGAGGGGGGCAGTTGCATGTGGTCCCAGAATTGCATTTCATCCGTTCATGGGATCTTTAGTTTTGTATTTATGTAAATTATCCCATATTCATCTGGTGATACTGTAAATCCTGCTGCAGTGTTAATCAAACAACACATCAAACATCTAGAAGCCACACAGTTTCCATTCCTCTCATATGGGATCAGATAGAAGCAAAGCATTTGTTTGTGCTTCAGAATCTCAGGGAAAAAACTTGGAGAGATACTACTGTTGTGGTGAAAGTGATTTTTACTGAAATAGAGTTTTTTTTAAAATACAGGTTTCTCATCAAGAGCAAGCATCCACTGAGGTTAAGAAAACTTCTAATGTTACCGAGAGTACTGATAAAATTGGTAAGAATCCACTGAATGTTAAGGGAAGAAATAAAAATGCTCTATATGTATAGATCAAAGATAACGTCAATGGAAAGCAATTGCTGTTCTATTGCTTTCAGTTGTACAGCTGAGCACATACGCATTTGACCAGTATAGTTCAACTAAGTTGCATTTCCAAGCTTGGTGCCAAAGATAGTCTATGGATCCCGGCCTATATGGAGGCGCTAGTAAAGAAGGGGAGCCCAACTTGCTTCAAGAATAGATAGTTCCAAATGATCCTGAGAAGAAAGTCTAGCTATCTGCCACATATGAAGGCAAAGTGCCTCCAGGAAATCTGTCACCAATGACTAAAGCCAATTAATGCTAATTTAGTATCATCCTGAAATAACCTTTTCAGCTTTCTTTTCACACCACAGTGGTCAATGCTGCCATGAATGAGGAGAGTCCAAAGATTTCTGCACAATCTTTAAAGCAGCACTTTGAAAAACCAGCCCAAGGAAAGACACTTATTTCTGGCCGAGAGAGTGGAACACCCGCAAAACAGATCAAGGTCAGTGGTTTGGAAAGGGGAGCCTCCAGTTAATGAATACTGAATTGCTATAAAAATTTTATTCTAAAGCTAAAATTCCTTCCTGGGCTGCAGTTGCTGTAGATTCAGAATAAGCATATTTCATCCATTTGTTTAGATGATGCCTGCAACATGGTTTTCAGTAAACAATTGATGTGCTTGGCAAGAAGCTGATCAATCTCTCAGTCCTTTGGGGCAATTTTAATGGTAGCAGGGCAATTTATGGTTGCTCGTAATGTATCCTTTAAAGTATTTGCTTGCAAACAGTTGTTCTTTCCTGCCAAACCCACACTGCAAAGTACTGAGGTTAGAGATATTTTTTATTTTTTTATTTGATTTCAGGCATTGTTTGGGTGCTTGGTAGCAGGATATCTCATGGCAGAATTGGGGTTGTGTTCCTGTGTCTTCCAATGTGTTGACATTTACATGAGCCAATGCACCAATAGTAATTCATAACATTGAAGTGTTAGCCTATATGCATCTAGTATGTTCAATGCCATGTAGCAGAAATAATATGGAAACTGTAACACCCTGATGTATATTCTTTAATGAATACCTACCTATAGGTACTACAGTCTTCTTTAAATCAACCTCACTTTTTGTATTTGCTAAATTCTTTTTCCTTTGTTGTGTACTCTTTCTTCTGTCCATTTCAGCTCTTACAGCAAATCTGTAAAGCTATGAGTGCAACACCTGATAACAGGAGATATAGGCACTATCCAGATGGTTTCAGAACACAATACAAATACATTATCAAATAGGTTAATTAAATATTATAAATATAAATTATGTATTGCACTGATGAAAATTACAGTATGGCACTGCATTCAGAGGTCTATCTGAAACTGTGGATGATAGCAAATCTGACTGACTAAATCTGGGCTGTAAGTATAACATAGGATCGCACTGGAGGATCTAGAGAGGCCCACAAACATTTCTTGTGGGGATTATTTTTTAGAGTACGGGTAAGTGAAACTATGGATATCAAATCTGGGATTAGGGTTAGAAGCCCACAAACATTTCTTGTGGGGATTATTTTTTTTTTGGAGTATGGGTAAATGAAACTATGGATATCAAATCTATGGATTAGGGAGCCATACTGTATACATGAATTCTCTGTGACTGTGTTAAACCACCCTGTTGTGCTCAAGTATTATTTTAGGATGGATAAAGGAAGATCTTATTTCCTTTAGCCTCCAGTTGTTTATTGCTGTGCAGAAATGAACTGAGCACATAGAATGGATGCAAAATTATGACTTAATTTAATAAATAAATAAAAACCAATTTTGTCTCCTAAAGATTGAAAATGAGTGTCAAGAAATGATCTGGCCATCTTCAGCTGTTTCTTCTTCTGCTGAAGCTGTTTCTACAAGTAGACAACAGGAAGCATATATGGTGAGGAAAACCAAGCACACATCTGCTGCCTCAGCAGCAGCCTGCTGCACCTCTTCTAAGTATGGGAGTACAGAGGAATTTCCTCCTCCACCATCTCCAGACTTACTACAGGCTCCATCTGAAATGACAGAGTTTTCCCAGTCCCCTGAACCCTCTCCCTCTCCATCAAAGCAACCCTTCCCCAAAGATTTTTATTCTAAGCAAAGAAATCTTTATGAGTTGAAGCGTTTATACAAGCATATTCACCCAGAACTGAGAAAAAACCTGGAAAAGGATTACTTCAACGACATTTCTGAGATAGTGTCTAGTAGCAACACTGAAACAGGTACCTCACTAGCAGGAGATGTACGTCAGGCTCGATACATGTTTGAAAATTCAGAAAGCAGCCCTCAAAAATGCATGAGCCCAGAAAGGGAATATTTGGAATGGGATGAAATTCTCAAAGGGGAGGTCCAATCGATGAGGTGGATCTTTGAGAATCAGCCCCTAGATTCAATCAGAGATGAATCCCCTGATCCAAATGATGTTAAAAGCATTGGAGATCAAGAAATAATTGCAGGTGGAGATGTTAAGTATACTACTTGGATGTTTGAAACACAACCCATGGATTCACTGGGCGCACATACTTCAGAGAGCCCAGAAAATGCAGACGGAGTTCCTGAACTTGCTTGTGGAGATGTCCGCACAGCCACTTGGATGTTTGAAACTCAGCCATTGGACTCAATGAATAAAATTCACCACGAAACAGAAGAAGACTCTGAAGAATCTTGCTTTAAGGAAATCACTGGTGGAGATGTGAAAACAGTGAAGTACATGTTTGAAACACAGCATTTGGATAGCCTGGGGCAGCTTTATTCAGTGGATGAAACTAAATTGCTGCAGCTCAGATCTGAACTAAAGGAGATTAAAGGGGATGTGAAGAGAAGTATAAGGCATTTTGAAACCTTACCAATGTATGTTATTAGAAACAATTTAGGCCAAATGCTAGAGATTAAAACTGTCCAGAGGGAAGATCTGGAGAGAGGAGATGTCAGAACTGTACGCTGGATGTTTGAAACACAGCCTCTTGACATGATCAACAAAGATTCCCAGGAAATCAAAGTTGTCTGTGGAATCTCCATGGAGGAAAGCATCAAAGGTGAAGTGGGCAGGGCAAAATGGTTATTTGAAACCCAGCCTTTGGATACTATTAAAGAGGAATATGAAGAAACCGTTGTGGAGAAAGAAGCCATTCTAGGCACAGATGTCTGCAAAAAATGTTGGCTTTTTGAGACCCAGCCTCTTGATACCCTAAAAGAAAGGGAAGATGCAAATCCTTTGCCCTCAGAAGAAATAATAGGAGGAGATGTAAATACCACTAAACACCTATTTGAAACTTTGCCAATGGATATGCTAAAAGACAGCCCAGATGTTGGAAAACTTCAAAAAATGGCAGCCACTGAGGAAGAGAAAGGGGATGTGAGGCATCAGAAATGGATTTTTGAGACTAAGCCACTTGAACAGATTAGAGAGGAGCAAAAGGAAATTGTAAGAGCTGTGAAACTGGAGGAAATTGATAAGGGAGATGTGAGCAGCTGTAGACATGTATTTGAAACATGCCACTTAAGGAAACAGGATGACTCCTATAAAATCCATGTTGAAGGAGTAACACAAGGTGCAGTAAAATTAAATAAAGCTGTGTTTGAAACCACTCCATTGTATGCAATTCAGGATAGACTTGGGAAATATCATAAAGTTAAAACAATTCGACAAGAGGAGATCATAAGGGGAGATGTCAGAAACTGCAGGTGGCTATTTGAAACAAGGCCCATTGATCAGTTTGATGAGAGTATTGAAAAGATTGAGATTATTAGAGGGATATCTTCACAAGAAGTACAGTCAGGTGATGTCAAAACAGCAAAATGGCTGTTTGAAACACAGCCTCTTGATTCCATCAAATATTTTGCTCAGATGGAAGATGAAGAAAGCACAGAAGAGTCCCAGGCAACAGAAGTTGTCAAGGGGGATGTGAAAACATGCAGGTGGCTATTTGAAACACAACCAATGGAAACTCTATATGACAGAGAGACTGTAGAGTCTGATAATGAAGAGATCCATAAAGGAGATGTCAAAACTTGCACCTGGCTTTTTGAAACCCGGCCTCTCGATGCCATAGGGGAAGACTCAGAAACAACCATAAAACTCCACACAGTGGAGCAGGAAGAAATTCAAGGCAGTGATGTCCGCACAGCATGTTTCCTCTTTGAAACAGAGAAGTTAGAAAACATACAAGGAGAAGAAAGCAAAGAAATCAAGCGGGTTGTTGAAATTGATATCCAGCCTGGAGATGTTTCTACCATGAAGTATAAATTTGAGAACCAATCATTAGATTCCATAAATTCCAGTTCAGAGGAAGTTTTGAAGAAAATTAAAAACTTACAATATGAAGATATACAGAAAGGGGATGTTTTGCATTGCTGTTGGCTTTTTGAGAACCAGTCTCTGGACGAAATAGCAGAACATGAAGAAGACAGAACCTCAGTAAAAACTGTGACAGACATACAAGGTGGAAACGTGAGAAAGGGGTGCTTTATTTTTGAGACCTTTTCTCTGGATCAGATTAAAGATGAGTCTACTGCAGATATAAGTGCCATAAAAACTGTTAGTGAAGATGAAATAACAAAAGGAGATGTGAAAAGCTACAGAATGCTCTTTGAGACCCAGCCACTTTATGCAATTCAGGACAGAGAAGGGTATTATCATGAGGTGACGACGGTTAAAAAGGAAGAAGTTATACATGGAGATGTACGTGGGACTCGTTGGCTGTTTGAAACTAAGCCTCTGGGATCAATAAACAAATCAGACAATGTATATATTATAAAATCAGTCACCCAGGAAGATATTCAGAAAGGAGATGTTAATTCAGTCAGATACCGATTTGAAACACAGCCATTGGACACCATTTCAGATGAGGAAAAAACCATTGTTCCCACAGTGGATAGTGTTCAGGGTGGTGATGTGAAAGCAAACAAGAAATTATTTGAGTCTGAAAAAGCCCAAGAAGGCATGTATGTAAGAACAGTGAGCATCAGTGAAATACAGCATGGCAATGTGAAGACATCAACTTGGCTCTTTGAAACACATACCATAGATGAGATCAGAGGAGAGGAATCAGAGTATAAAGATGTCAAGACAGTAACTAAGGAGGAGGTGCAAGAAGGTGATGTTCAGCATTCAGTGTGGCTTTTTGAAAACCAGCCACTGGACTCCATTAAGGAAACTGATGAAAGTGATGGAAAAATAGATAAAGAGGAAATTCCACAGGCAGATGTTAAGACCACAACATGGCTCTTTGAGACAACCCCTTTCCATGAATTCAATGAAAGCAATATTGAAAAGGAAGAAATAATTGGGAAGAGTGTGAAGGAAACTTTAAAGGAACTTTATTCTCACAAAGTCGTAGAAACACATGGCATTATCTTGGAGTCAGATGAAATTGGAGATGTCAGAATGGCAAAATATAAGCTGATGAATCCGGAGGCTCCTGAAATACAAAAAGAAGAGATTATTAAAGGAGACTTAGCCAACATCATATTGAACCTACTGTCCAGACCCAGTACTGAACAAAAGGAAAATAAAGTCAATGAAGATGAAAAGGGCAATGTGAATTTGACCAAACAAAAGTTGCTGAATAGATCAACAGATGTTCACGTTGAAAAAGAAGAGGTAGTTAGAGGTGATATACAACAAGCCATTAAAAACCTGTTTAGTAAGGATAGCTCTATAAAACAAGGAATTTTAATTCAGGAAAATGAGAGGGGTGATATTAACATGACAGTCTATTCTCTTTTTCACAAAAAGGATGGTAATAACATTAAGCAAGATGAAATTATTGGTGGTGATGTGAAGCGTACTATTCACAGCCTTCTCTCTTCTGCCATGAATAATGAAATATTAGAAAGACCTAAAATAGATGACTCTGAAAGGGGCAATGTTCAGTTTTTTACAACATGCATAGAAGCTGGAGCTCTGGATTATCTGAAACTCCTCCAGACAGGGACAAATGAAACATTTTTAACAAGGAATCATGAAGAGGAGGAGGAGGAGGAAATAATTGGTGGTGATGTCGAAGGGACAAAGCTGTTATTTAAGAAAAAGAAGCCTAAAATTCAACGGACAGTTAATGAAGCTGACATAGTCCCTGGAGATGTGTGTAATGCAGTTAAAATCTTTATGACTGAGCCACAGAATACATCTTGTCATGTATGCAAAGAAGAAATTATAAAAGGTGATTTGAAGGCAGCCTTAAATTCCCTCAGCCAGGCCATAAATCAAACAACTGTTGCAGAGAAGGAAGAAATTATAAAAGCTGACATCCTTGCAATTCTGCAGTCTCTTAAAGAATCAGCTTATCATCTGAAAGAAACAGAAAAACCCAATGTCATCCCAGGCGATATTAAGCAGGCTATTGAATCTCTGGAGAAAGCAAGAGACACAAAAAATGAAATCTTGAGACAAGAGGTTGTTCAAAGTGACCTTGAATCCACCCTGAGGTCTTTGAAAGCAGCTCAGCAGTCTTTCAAGACAGTAGCTATAGCAGAAATAGATGGCAGAGAAAGCCAGACAGTGGTGGGGAACTCACTGGAAGCTTCAGCAGAAAGGAAAATACTACAGCAGCAAGGAGTCACCAAGAGTAATATCAGACAAACCAATGAGAGTCTGTTTAAGCCATCTCAACAGTTGGTCAATCATGAGGTTAATGTAAGTGATGGTTTACAAAATAATATAAAATCTCAAAAGAAACATCATGCAGGGATGAAGTCTGAAAAGGAGAGCCTCCTCATTGAAGATACCAGAGCAATCCATCTGAATCAGAAACAGAGCACCAAGGCACATGAGGCAGATAAGAAAAATGTGAAGGGCTTATCTAGTTCCCAATACAAGGTCATGGAAAAAGGAGATAAGTCTATAAGTAAAGTCAGAGACCATAACATTGCAAAAGGAGAAGCAAAATGTCACACAGATCAATATATGAGTGATCAATCTGCTTTTTGTGGCAATGTTCAAAAGAAAGAAAGAATAGAAAAATCAGAAGCAAGCAGAATGATGAGGAAAGACAGTTCATCCAATGTTGTTCAGTCCACAAAACAATTTACTGGAAAGAAATATAATGTCTTTCATGAACATAAAGATGACAAACATTTTGACACCAACCTTCAGGAGAGGACAAAAGAAAAATCAACACTGTCAACATGTGATCACAGGTCTGGTCACAAAGAAGCAGGAGAACCGGTCAACATGTCAACTTGCATGATTTCCAAAGCAGCTGGCCATGTTCGGACACAAGAGGAGCAACACAGTAGAAAACAATCTCAGCATTCAAACGAGGTTTGCAAAGAGAAGAAAAATAATGTGAAGCCAAGCCAAGCAGAGGTTTCCATGGCATCAGAACAAAATATAAAAACCAATCAAAAGGTCAGAACAACACAGGAAATGCACACTGAAATTAAAGAAGCTGAAAGGAAGCAAAGCTGTAAAGTTATCCAACAAAGTGAGAAATCCATGCTGAGGTTTAGGGGAAAGGCTAAAGTGGAGGGTGCGGAGTCAGATTTCAAAGTTATGGTGAAAAATCCACTAAATCCAAACAAGAATCCTAAGCGCCCAGAAAGGTCGGAAATTGATTCTCCACCGCCTCCACCTCCTCCTCCTTCACCTCCAATTTCAGTCACATCCTCTGAAGCTGACTTACCTCTGCCGCCACCACCTCCTCCTCTAACTCATTTGATGACAGCTTCTGACAGCCAAAGTTTTCCTTCACCTCCACCACCAATAGGACAGGGCAAAATGGAGAGTGAGCATTTTCCTCTCCCACCACCCCCAGTAGAAGTCAAGGGTGAAAGGGAACTAGCTTATGCTCCATCTCCATCACTTCTTCCTCAACCCTCAGCTATTCCTCAGCCCAAACAAAAGAAAGATAATTTCCTCAAACATCTAGACAAAACACTGCAAACATCAGTTCAACATCATGACAGCCTTAAAGGCAGCAGAGGCTCATACATCAAGTCACATCCTCAGATGGAACCTGCGAAAGATTTAGAAACAAGCCAGCCTAGAACACATAGAAAAATCCAGCCAAATATTGTTCAGATACACACACAAAGTGATGCCACAAAAACAGTGGAAGAAAAGACAGAAAGCATAATGATGAGGAAGACTGCTAACCATGAAAAGAAAGAGGAAACTATCTGCACAAAAACTGAAGAGATTCTAAGGCCCTCATCAGTCACAGAAGCAACCAAGCTGAAGACATCACCAATAACAAGAACAACTACATTTCCTCTTGTTAGGTCTCCTTCTCTTCCGGCAGAAGCAACACAAAAGAAACCAAAGCTTTATGTAAGAAAATTTAAAACCCCTTTAATGATTGCAGAAGAGAAATACAGACAGCAAAGGGAAGAGATGGAGCAAAAAGAAGCCAAAGATGTTTGTTTACTGACTATGAGACGAAACAGTGAAACTTGGGGTAGTTCTGCTCAGAACAATTCGGAAACATGTCATTCCCTCCTAAATCCAGAAGAAGTGCATAAGACTCCTCTGCAAGGGCCATTGCTCTCTGTAGCTCTAGAGATGCCCACAGAGCCTGAATGTCAAAGACAAGCCCAAGTGGCAAAACCACAAGTTGATGAGCGACAGCCGAAGCCAAAAGTAGTAGCAGCCAATCAGTCTCAAGTCATTTTGAAAATCTCAGCAGAGGAACACAGTACAACAAAAGCTGTGCACAGTTCACAAAGCCTTAATAAACAGTGTGAATCTTCTCAAAAGATAGAGACCCATAGAGAACATACTGTCCACAAGAGACAGCAATGCCAAAATGAGGAGCAACTGCATCTGTCAAAAACCAAAGTAATGTCACCTACTTTCAAAGTCAGAACTATCAAGCTTTCTCCTTTAGATCAAAGCTTACATGAAATCCATATGGATTCCATGATACACAAAAACCAAGAAGGAACTAGTATCCAGAAGCAGCATATTAAAGAAAAACAGAAAGAAAATTTAAGCAAAGCTACTATTAAAAAAGAGAACACGACAAAATCAAGTAGCCATGTGAATGTCGATGAGAAAATGTGCCCAGAAAAGCCAATTTTAAAATATACAAAAAGAAAAGAAGAAGTAAAGGACAAAGAATCCAGTGAAGTGAAACAGAGGTTAGTTCAAAGGCAGGAAATTGAGAAAGACAAAATTAAACAAGAAAGTGTCTCTTCAGTTATGGAAGGAAAGCAGAGCCAAGTAATTGGTTTCCCTAAAGAAAAAAAAGTATCAGCTCAAAGACAACAAGAAGATGTTAGCAATAAATCAGAAAAGATGGTCAAGCAAAAGATAATTGATATGCGCCAAGACTCACAGACTTTGACTTCCGAACAAGGGAAAACTCATGTTTTGGAGACAAACATTCAAAATAAAAAACTGTCCCATCAAAACAGTGATATAAATCGTATGGGCTGTACTACAGAAAATACCAACCAACACAAAAAGGTCCTTCTTAAGACGACAGAGCCAAAACAAGAGTTTATGCAGAAAAAACCATTATCATTCAGTTCCCCAAGAGGATCACCACAAAGCAACGAGAAAAGCTCAGTAGATATATTAGAGTTTCTGAGGAAACGTGAGGAGGTACAGCATATATTATCCAGATTAAAAGAGTTTGAAATTGAGCCAAATAAAAATGGCATCCAAACATTTCAGGCATTCTTAAACGTCATTCCAGAATGGCTAATAGAAAAAGAAAAGAAGGAAAGCTTAACCTACATTGCGCAAGAGAATAATGTGGAAAAGATGAAAGAAGAATTACTGATTGTTAAGGAACAAGCTGCCAAAATGCTTGAATCATGTGAAGATGCCATCCAGACAGCCATGATTTCCATGAAACCTCTGAAATCTAGAAAGGGCACTCTTCAAGTTGGGGAACCATCACAAAAAGTAATTAAAGATAGCATAGGATCTAGCAAGAAAGACTCACAGAAAATGAAGGAGATTAACAAAGACGTAATGGCCCATCAAGAAGTAAAGCAAATAATCAGTGCCCGCAGACTGTCAGAAATCGGAATGACTTCACCATCCCTAAGAACACGAGCACCATCACCTACTTACATTACCATTGAATCTAGATGTGTTGAACCCTCCCCCAGGGTTGAACCCTCCCCCAGGGAGTTTGTATCTCCTGTCCAAAGGGAACGCACTCCAGTTCCACCATCACCTCCTCCCAGAAGTGTGACACCAACATTTAAGACACAACAAGTGCCAACCTCCTGCCCTTCTCCCTCTCCTCCAAGAAGCCGCTCGGAGCAACTTGCTAAACTGAAAGACACAACTGTGAAACTGTCTCAAGGAGCAACACAAAATAGATCAGTAACTCCAATTCCTATTTTGGAGAAAAGGTCAGAGATTGTTAAATCCCCTGCAACACTCCGGCGGCAAATCAAGATTGACACGCGCCAAACTGATGTTTTGTCTTCCAAAATGTCCTCTGTGAATGAATCTCATGTAACTGCCAGTGCAGTAAAGAAAATTAAAGAAGCCCATGAAGAATCTGAAACAAACAAAATACACATCTCCCAAAAGAGAGGAAACATTCCAGAAAGCTTGGAGCCACATAAACACAATGTTGGCTCTATTTGCATCACTCAAAAGTTTGAAGTTCCTAAGGCTGATTCTAAAGGGCTCATGCATACGTTTGAAGCATCTGAGCATATGATTCACATAAGAAAGGAGCCAGAGGTACCTGAAAAACTGAATAGCCAAAGTGAGGAAAAAATAGATATAGTGGTAGGAATGTTTAATGATACACCCAAAACTGAGGTGATATCCCAGAAGAGGTATGTTGAAAATGGTATAATCCATGGCCAAATGAAGGAAGAAAGGCACAGATTAAGCAGGAATGGATGTGGACAAACTTCTCAAGAGCCTGAAAAACAAAAAGAACATTTCCAGAGGTCTCCAAGAAGGCGACAAAGAGAACCCAAGGAAAATAAAACCTGCAAGCAAAAGGAATGTGTCATCCAAGAGCATTCATTAGAACCCACGGTATGTTTTGACACAAAGTCACACAATGAATGTTCCTCCACCATGGATTCATTTGAGAACACAGTTGTTGAATCAAGAGCTGCCGTTTCTACTTCACGAAGCTCAGATGGGATGCAGTCAGGAGGATTCGGCTTCAAGCGTGCACCTCCAACATATGAAGATGTAATTTCAGGGCACATCTTGGATATTTCTGCTGCTGATTCACCAGAAGAGCTGCTAAGGAATTTTCAGAAGACTTGGCAAGAGAGTGAACAAGTCTTTAAAAGCCTGGGCTACAACATCTCAGAAGCTGCTGAAGCAGAAGTACGAAGCAGCTTCCACGAGGAAGCAGAGTTCATTAGTGGTAAATAAGCATGCAAGGTGTGAAGGACATTTTTAACAGCTTTAAGCATCTGGCACCATGGTAATAATTTTTTTTAAAGAATTAATATGCAACTGGAAGGTTGAAGTGACATAACTCCACTAACATTTCTACATTTGTATTTTCCTTCCTTCCTTCTTTCCTTCCTTCCTTCCTTCCTTCCTTCCTCCCTCCCTCCCTTACTTTCCATGCTTTGTAGGGCTGGGCGGTTTCGTTTCGTTAATTCGTAATTCGTTAATAATTCGTTAATTTTTTCAATTACAAAACGATAACGAACCATTCTGGAGCAATTTTTTTAAAAAACGAATTTTTGAACACGTTTTGTAAATGCTTCGTATTTCGTTATTGTATTCGTTTCGTTATTGTTCTGAGGTCGTTTCGTTATTATTTCCGCATGTCTGGGGCAAGTTTTTTGTTTAATTAGTGAAAAAAAATTATAATATCACACCAACAGTCAACAACAGAGGGAGAGGGAAGCTTCAGAAGTTTTTGGAGGTTTTTTAGCGTATTTCGCGGTCGCGTCCGCCATTAACGAATCGATTCGTTATTGTTTCGGAAATCGATTCGTTAATGTTTTGTAATTTTTTTCACATTTACGAAATTTCGTAAATATCGAACTTTTTAAAAGGAAAATTTTGTAATTATTTTAAATAACGAAACACAAAAACCCCCAAAAAACGAATCGATTTTAGAAACAAATTTTTCCGTTGTTACCCAGGCCTAATCTTTTGGCTCATTCCAAAGGCATGTGCTTCAATGTATGTGCTGATTGTGGCTAACCAGTACTGACAGTTTTAGGTTAGTATGCTCTTTGAATTCTGATAGTGAAAACATGTTCCCAAGCATTAAATAGAAAAAATAACACCTCACAAAATGCTTTATTTCTTTTTTTTAGTTGAAACATTTTGGGGGAATGGGCTTGAATGAAGGCCTTTGGATTTGCATGTCATGTTAAATACAGTGAAATCTTGTGTTTTTTATTTCATTTTTAAGAGATTCATGTAAGCTCCCATCTATACTGCCAAATAATACAGTTTGAAACAATCAGACTACAGCAGATACCTTCACCTGACTTCATTCTGTTTTGTTCATTAGGGTAGAAATAAATGGCTTTCAAAGGATATGAATAACCCTAACCCTCAACATATGAGAGAACAATGTCTCTATGTACAGTGGTACCCCAATGAGAAAGAAAACAGTATAAAATGCTATTCACATTTGACATTGGAGTCAAAAACTTCACCCTCTTAGCTGTGCTTGATATAACTATTGTGAAAGCAGCAGTGTAGTAAATAGGATACACAACAGAATACATTGCTAAATCCATCCCCTGTATTAACTCTAGAAATTAATGTACACTAGACTAGAGCGATATGTTAATACAAGGACACCATTGAATTCAGCCCATTATAATTGAAGCATAAACCAGTGTGACTTATTTAAATGCAAGAACACATGTTCACCTGTTATATTTTATGTCCTTGCATTTAGATTATTTATATTGTTTTATGATGCTATTGTAATGGCCTAAATCCAATGGTATCACTGTACTAAGGCAAGGTCCAGAGAAGCAACATTAAACTATTCAGACTAAACAAGGAATACCATGAACCAACAATTCTGCAAGAATTGCACCCCCCCCCCCCCAATCTTCTGCTCAGGTGTCAGGCAGCAGTCTTCTCAGAAATTACTACTGACATCTTAGCTGAAGATTATTTTATACTTTCATCTCACAATGGGAGAGAATTGTACTTCAAATCATTTCCTAATTAAGAATTTCCCTAGATACACAAAGTTCTGTATATCCATAACAGAAAGAACCTAAGCTCAAAAGAATCCACATGTAGGAGAAATTGAAAATGGCAGACTCATCCCTCCATCTTTAGGACTTTGAACACTTAGCTCTGAAAAGTGGGGTTCTGAATTCCAAAATAAACACCTAAATGGTTTGCTGGTACTAAATTAAGGCCATCACTGTTCACCGCCCTTCCCCAAGAGAGTCCTGAGATTCAAGACCTATACAAAAGGCAGGTACAATAGGGCCCCTATTCGTAATAAGAACAACTTTTTCTAACTAATTCAGCTGGTGTGGATGTGTGAACATGTTCTTTTGAAAGAAAATCAGAATTGCTTATAACTAAGGACTGTGATGCATAATGGATTGTTTTAATTGTTTTAATTACTGTTTATATATGTTTTATTTTTTACCTTGTTGTTGTGCTGGCATAAATTGTGCTTTTTTGTAAGCCGCCCTAAGTCCCCCCTCGGGGGTTGAGAAGGGTGGGGTAGAAGTGCGAGAAATAAATAAATAAATAAATAAATAAATAAATAAATTCAAGATGAAATAAAGGCCAGAATTAATTGAGGCAGTTATGAATGAATAGCCACTGAAGTTGTGTAGCTATGAGATTACTGTTGGCACAACCAACCCACCACCTGCAACTGCTGTGATCAACAGAATTTGCTCCCCCGTCAGTTGGGAAATAGTTGGCTGATGCTTCCACATCCTCCTTTGAGAGATCTCTATTGTGGCAGAGAGAAGCAGGATTCCTGTCATTATTCCCCCTCGCACCAGAGATAGCTTGCACAAGTGGAATATGGATGGGAATGAGAGTCAGCTGCTTCCCTTCCAACTGGGGAACAGACCCTCTTTGATTACAGTAGCTGCTGCTGGGTAAATGGGGATTGAGGGACTTTCATGGACCACCCCTAGTATCCCCTAAACCAAGAATCATGAAAATGAATCAGTCATGAATGTGTAACTCTAGATTTGTAACTGCCTTAGTAAATTTCAGCTGAGGTTTTTTTAAAAAAAAAATGATGCAGGAGAAAGGGAAGGTGAGAGACCTTCTCATCCTTAGTTTCATCTACAGAGGCAGAAAGAGGAGGGTGGAGGTCAGGCAACCCTCCATGAAATTCCTTTCTTTGCAGAATACTCAGCAACACAATCACAAGCCATGGTTTCATTTATCGACCATGTAAGGCCACATCACCTACACAAAGGATCAAAACTGCTGCGGTAGTCAGCCGAGTCTACAGCAAACAGTTCTGATTCACACAAGTAAATAACATTAGAACACCTTTGATATTGATCAACACTGTTGATTCATCCTTTTGAAAAATGTATGTTCCTGTACTCTTCGAAAATCCCCAATGTAGTGAAAGAGGAAATGTGAATACTTCCACCACAAAGTGCAGGAGAAGGGGAGGTATATATCTTCCACTATGAGAAGAGGTGAGTAACCTTTAGATGCCACTGACTGCGTAAGCTCCAACTGCACATTTTATAGCAAAAAGGTAAAAATGTATCAAATGTGAGTTCCTCATACTTCTACTTCACTTTCTGCCTCTTGAAAAATGATGGACCTCATCACACTAGAGAAAAAAAATCTACTTAAAATCTGGTTTCTGCCTTCTGCAGAATTCTGGAGTTTGTAGTTTAGGAAGGGGCCTTTAACAGCCTCACTAAACTACAAACCCCAGAATTCTGCAGGAGGCAGAAACCAGATTTTAAGTGAATTCATTCTCTAGTATGATTATGTGGAAAAACACAGTCCATGTCTCCAAGGGATGCACAGAGTTCTGTTCTCCCCAAAACAAAATACAGGTCTCACTGTAACCAGACTTGGATTTGGTCATTTAAATTGGAGGCTTAGGAGTTAATTATTTGTGAGCCAAGACTTCAAGCTTTTGTAGTGATGCTGTGCAGAGTCTGAAGGAGGGATGAATGACAACACGTAACACTGAGACCCTGTCTCATTTATTTCTAGAAACTGCAACTTCAGGGAAAGGAAGCGTGCCTACTTTGTCAAAAGAGAGTTTATCCAATGGAGTGCCTGGTTGCCGACAAGCAGACCTTTCATAAATCTTGTTTCCGATGTCACCACTGTGGCAGTAAATTAAGGTAAGATGAAGCGGACAATTAAAGCTTGACATGCAAATACTGTCATAGCCGACATCTATTTTCCTATGGGTGGTACCCAAGATACTGGATCACACAGACAGCAGATATAATTTTCCTGCCCAGATCCTTCACTGAAATGGCCACTTGACGGGTCTCTTTCAGTTAGATCAGAAGTAAGCCTCATTGGAAGAGTCTGAACTTGTTTCCAAGGGTATAGAATTCCAGTTGGAAACTCTTTCCCTCTGGATATCTCCATATAAGAGGAGAATAAAGATAGATTCTGCATATTTTACATTGCTGTTCCCTGGATAAAAGCAATGGTATAAATCTTTTAGCTAGAATCAAAGTGGTAAAATTATTGACTTGCTTGTCATTATCTGTGTTTGCAAAACAATAAGATCACCCAGACATTACATATGCCCCTTTCAATTAACTAACAGAAGTCATATAGGTGAATAGTGAAAGAATCGTAGAATCATTGAGTTGGAAGAGATCTCATGGTCCATCCAGTCCAACCCCCTGCCAAGAAGCAGGAAAGTTGCATTCAAAGCAACCCCGACAAATGGCCATCCAGCCTCTGTTTAAAAGCCTCCAAAGAAGGCTCCTCCACCACACTCCGGGGCAGAGTTCCACTGCTGAACAGCTCTCACAGTTAGGAAGGTCTTCCTAATGCTCAGGTAGATTCTCCTTTCCCCGTAGTTTGAAGCCATTGTTCTGCATCCTAGTCTCCAGGGCAGCAGAAAACCAGCCTGCTCCCTCCCCCCTATGACTCCCCCTCACATATTTATGCATGGCTATCATGTCCCCTCTCAGCCTTCTCTTCTGAAGGCTGAACATGCCCAGCTCCTTAAGCCACTCCTCATAGGGCTTGTTCTCCAGACCCTTGATCATTTTAGTCACCCTGCAGCTTGTCAACATCTTCCTTAAATTGTGGTGCCCAGAATTGGACGCAGTATTCCAGGTGTGCTCTGACCAAGGCAGAATAGAGGGGTAGCATGACTTCCCGGGATCTAGACTCTATACTCCTATTCATGCAGGCCAAAATCCCATTGGTTTTTGTTTTGTTTTTGTTTTTTTGCCATTGCATGACATTGTTGGCTCATGTTTAACTTGTTGTCCACGAGGACTCCAATATCTTTTTCACACATACTGCTCTTGAGCAGAAATCACATATAGGCAATATATATCAGAGAACAGAAGGGGTTAAGGGAGGGAGAGGCTTATTTTGGCTGGAGAAAGAGAGTGGGAAGAGAAGTTTCAGTGATATTCTGACCCTGGCTATTATTCCTTTCTAATCGGGTCCCTTCTACTACAAGCTGCATAGGGAATAATAGCAAATCTGCCACATATCAAGGGGAGACACTTTTATGGGGTTTTCTTTTTTGTCTTTTTGTTTTACTTTGTTCTGCTTGTTCTATCAACATCAGTGGATGTAACAAACTGTAGTTAGTGAAAAGAACAATTCTGACTACATAAATAAATAGATTACATTATTTAGCTTGCATTATAGCCCTTTTTTAATTTAGTGGTTACTTCATGGTTTCTCAATTATGTTTTTAAATGTAGACTGAATGGCCTAGCACAAGTAAAGGATCTGCTATAATCACTACCCCCATAACACCACAGACTATCTAGCTTTAAAGAAAAACTTTCTGTTAAAAGTTTTTTACCTGAAATGAGGCCCCATTTACACTGCCATATAATCCAGTTTCTGAGTCCAGATTATCTGTTTTGAACTGGATTATATGGCAGTGTAAACTCATATGACTCTTGTCAAAGTGTAGATCCAACCTGAGTCTATGAAAGTCGGGATCCAAGCCAATATTGTTTAATCTGCTAGGCAGTATATGTTAAATAAAACATATTTATCATCTATTTTCTAAAGTGATATGAGTTAAGCTACTATTTACAGACATTAATAATTATAGGATTTTAAAAATAAAAGAAAGGGTGTTTTCATATGTCTTTATTTGCATTAAAGCTCTGTTAAGTGCAATTGTGCAAATATGCATTTACATGGATAAATCAGGCATTTAAGTGAAAATTGAAGAGTGTGTGCATACTATAAAAATAGCAATGGAGGGATGGTGGCAGTGAAAGTATAGTGAAGTAGATGTGGGTCCCATAGGCTCTTCTGCTCAATATTCAGAGGAAACCTCAAAGCTAATTCTCCTTTTAAACATGGAAGAGTAGTAATAAATTGCTTCCATTCCATACTATAAAGAAACAAGTCACAAATAGCATACGGCAATGCTATGGCCCCTCTTCCTTCAGGTAAATCTATTCTCAATCTTGACCAACCCAATATAATTTAATTTACTGGACAGTAGACATTCAATGAAAAATATTTATTTCTTTTCTAAAGTGATACACATTGACGGTTGCATTTACAGACACTATTATTTATAGGTACTTAAAATGTCAAGTAAAATTTGATATTCTTGAAGTGTCTCTGACTGATGGATGTCATAAAACATTTTCTCTTTGATTTGGCAGCTTGGGAAATTATGCTTCTCTCCATGGTAAAATATATTGTAAACCCCATTTTAAGCAACTTTTCAAGTCCAAAGGAAATTATGATGAAGGCTTCGGACACAAGCAACATAAAGAATTATGGGTCTCCAAAGATCAAAAAGGCCACACTGGTTCTGTTCATGCTAAACAACTCCCTACACAACTTTCAAAGGCAGATGAACCCAGTGATGAAATTTTGCAATCTGCCCCTCAGCAAGTAGCTTGTGATACTTCTGGTGATAATTTAAAACAAATCACAGAGCGAGGCAAATTAAATATTACATGGCCTCCATCTATGGAGAAACCCAAAAAATCATTTTCTCTGGAGGAAGATGTCAAAGTGAATAAACCAAAATGGCCTCCAGACAGTTCTGAAATTGATGCCAATACCAGCAGTACAAATCCTCCAATGAGTGACAGAAACCAGCATCAGTCAACAAATGGTGATGGCAGTAGTTGGGACATGGATGACAGGAAGAAAGATGCAAGGACTGATTCACAACCAAATGATCACCCCACTGTCACCCCAGCATCTAAAGGAAAGGAGCGTGGAAATAATAGCACCACAAAGACATCTGATGCAGGGAAAAATGAAGAAAGCAACATTATGCTAGGGAAAATGAATGGATCTGAAGGTTTGGGAAAGGAGGAAGAAAATGGAAGGAATGGGAAAGAATGTGATAATGAGGCTGAGCAAGGTGCTGGGAAGGAAAAAAATGGAAAAATCAGCAAAACTGATATCACAGAAGTTATACCTGTTACTAACACCGATGATGAAACTGTATTGGAGAACAACAAAGACAGCACTTTGAACAACAATAGCAACAACAATAGCAATAACAGTAACAACTGCTGGATAACTGCCTTTCCACATCATACCATTTATGGTCAAGAAGCACCTACTGATGGCAAGCACTATCTATTACCAGAACTGAGCCATGCAAAGATCGGTGCCTGTAAACATGCTTTTGAAAAGTTAGGGCATATCAGTTCAGAGAAGTATAACTGAGTCTGAACTGGGCTGTCCCAAAGAAGTGTTAAATCTTGTGCATGTTTATGAGAAACATTAAAAGAAATTGGCAGATAATATTCCTGGAAATAAAAATCAAGATGACAGCTGTCAAAAACAATGGACCACCAATATTGTCATTTTAAAGGAAATTGCTAATTTATATTTCCTTTTAGCAATGGATTAATGGGCACTAGAGAAACAACTGAACAAGTCAAAAAGTAAAATATTATGTTTTCTGATAATCTGAAAAAATATTTTACCTCAAATTGATGGCAATGCTCTATTTGACTCTATAAGCAAAGCAAAAGAAATGTTTATAATCCACATTCAAAAGACTTTGTTAATGTGAGGTTGATATCTGTCAATAAGATGAAATAATGGAAATATTTCATGTGGATTTATGTACAAGCTTAGGCTTACTTGGTTCAAACTATAGAGCTGTTTTGTCATTTGAAGAAGAGCAAGTCAAGATGAGCATCCAGCAGTATCAGAACAAGTTAAAAATAATGGACATTATAACAAAAAATTTAAATGACCAATCTAAATTTTGAATGTACTTGGGACAATATAGTTAAAGGTTTATATATCTATAATTTGTGGAATAGATTCCTGTCATTGCACCAGAAGCTTTTATTTCAACTATAAATTACCAATTACTCAAACTTGGCTTGCTCAAAGTATATTGGATTCCATGTATACCTGGGAACTGAGGAAGCTCAGTTGACTCAGAAAACAAATATCCTGTACTTTTACTTGTCAATGTATTTATTGAGGGCTCTTTCAAACATGCATGTTGATCTCCTGTTTACTTAATACTTAACTCAACACTGAAGCTATGAACTAAAAAGTAAATTGTGTGAAGTGACACTGAGTGTCTGAAAGTTCTGTCTTTGGTATTAGATCTGTAATGGGTTTGTTCACACACGTAAGTCATCACTTAATATCACTACTAAGTGAGGAATGTGTATGTGTGAACTCACCCCTGGAAAACAAGTTAAAATTTTATTCTCTTATCTATGCACTATTTCAGTGATGTTTTTTCTGTTGTAATGAACTTAAGGATTATGCACCTGGTGTGCTCTAAGAGAAAGACAAATATTTCTGAAGTTATTTTTTCACTGTTTTACTGTAAGTGAATGAGCTGTTTTTCAATGAGGTAGTATATGTGCAAAGTGTTTGAGCTTATAGAAGTAGCATTTTCTTCTTCTTGTGTTTTTCTAAAGATATATTTCAAAAGCAGTACTTGGCTGAAATAAATTATCAAAATGCATGAGCAGCTGCCCCAGCATTTGTGTATTACCCTCTTTTGGGAGCATGATGTGCCTTATAAATTTTTTTTAAAAAAAGATCTAGCATACCCAAAGGCTGAGATCACACAGGTCTGCATCTCTATGGCTATCTCTCTCCCAAAGCCCACCTATAAGGAGTGCATACCCCTCGACATAGGCTTTATGTTTGGGGTGAATGGGAGATCAGCAAGGATATGTCAGTATTTTCCTGCCATTGAAAATGCTGTGACAGGCACCTGTAGGGTCCTCCAGAAGTCTTCAGAAGGTCCCTGCATGTAATGTCCTTGCAGCACATTCATCTACAGGTAAATAGCTGAATGCATCCTGTGCCGATTCTCCTTTCTGTCCAATAACACAGACATTGGCATGCTAGGGGAGCTGCACTATTTTAAAGTTTGAGGGAGATTTTTTGCCACTGCATAGTTAAAATGTTATTGTGGTGGCATAAATCTGACTTAAGCCATTGTAATTCTCCAACAGGTTGTCCACCAAATTTGCTTCACAGCTTGATATGAGGAGCGTGATTCATGCCAAATTAAGCATGACACAGTCAGATACTATGAATGCTTTATTGTTTCTACCTACCTTCTAAGGAATCTAGTGATCYGTACATTGAAGTAAGCTCATATGGGATTGCAGGCTAACAATGAATCCTACACATGCCAAYTCAGATGTTAAGATCTATCATATGCATCTTTCAGTTTGGTGACTGCAGGACTACAGCCCAAGTCCCATTCAATGGGAACTAAACTTGCTTAAGTATGTCAAGAGTGTGTTCAAGGTCTATACATTTTAAAGAAAAAAGCCTGAAGGGAAAATGCAATTAAAATATATCCACAGAAATGAGGATTTGGGGAGCTAATGTTAATGTACCAAAATATTCCATCCAAGCTCTAGTCCAGTTTTAAAATCTGGGCATAATTAGTCATATTTAGCACTTTTGATGCCTAACTTTATGTACTGAATAGCAGTGATTTCCTAGGTTAATGTTAGTTGAACTTGCATGAAAGTACTTCACTGGGCAGCTGACAATGCCTAATAAAAAAGCACTTTAGAAAATGCACTTTGTGTGTGTGGATTTTTTAGTTTGATGCTCTTTTTTAAAAGGCAGCAGCACATTATAACAGTTTTAGGTTTACTGCACAGCAAATGTAAAACACAAAACAAAAACTAGAAACTGCAGGACATTTTAGTCTAATACAACATCTTGTTTATCACTGTGGTTAACCAGAAGACTCAGAGAAGTCCACAAAAAGACAGGACCTAAAGATAATGAAATATTGTTGACCCATCAACAATCTCACCATTCCACCAACACTGGTATGTATTTGAGAGCATACTGCTTGCTAACAAGTAGATTGCATTTAGCAATCAAGGGGGCTGAAGAGGTTCACAACTCTCATTTTTGATCCAAGTAAGACAGTGAAGGGAATTAACAACGTGACAAGCAGCTGTAGCACAACTCTTCAGCCTTGAAAGGTAGGTTTACAGGAGGATTTTTCAGTCATTGCAATGACACATCGATTGCGAACGTGACAGCCAATCATTACAATATCACCAGACCATCTTATGCCATTGTAAATACTAAGCTGCATACCAGCCTCTGTCTCAGGCTAGGGAAATGTGTGGTTTTCTTTAATGTTCTCTAAGACATAAATGCATTTTTGAAGATTCACATTGCCACCATCTGACAGGACTCAACTTTGAACCATTTCCATTATGCACATCACTACAAGTTTGCTCATAACCTCCTAATTCCAGGGTTTTCTGGATGAAATGGATTATCTACATCCATTTCAATCTGGTTTCAGGCCTGATTATGGGGCAGAGATAGTTTTGGTTGCCTTGGTGGATGACCTACACAGAGAACTGGATAAGGGAATGTGTCCCTGTTGTTTCTACTGAACCTCTTGGCAGGTTTCGATACCATCGACTATGGCATCCTTCTGGGTCGCCTCACTGAGATGGGACTTGGTGGCACTGTTTTATGGTGACTCCATTCCTTCTCAGAGGGAAGAACCCAAAAGGGGATGCTGGGGGGGGGGGGTCCTGTTAGAACTCCTGCCCATTGCCCTATAGCAGTGTTTCTCAACCTGTAGGTCCCCAGATTTTTGGCCTCCAACTCCCAGAAATCCTAAAAGTTGGTAAACTTGCTGAGATTTCTGAGAATTGTAGGCCAAAACACCTTGGGACCCACAGGTTGAGGATCACTGGACTATAGGATCCCACAGGGATCTGTCTTTTAACTGGTTTTAAAGTTTTAAATGATTGCAACCAATTTGTATGTTTAATCCTATTGTAATATTTACATGATGGATTTCAAATTTTATATATATATATATATATTTATTAGATGCTTTGTTTCTCAACTATAGAGATAAAAGCAGGATTCAAATAAATATTCAAATAAATACATAATCATAATAACCTCATCACTAGTCCTACTGTGTGTCGCCTTTTGGGCACCATTCATTTTATGCATTTTGTGGGGAGAGTGGTAGCCTTCATCTCTCTACCTTAAACAAAATGAATGTGGCATTGTTATGACCTGCATCTGATTGGCAAGAAGTGCGGCTTTGCAAGCATAAATTCTATTGCATACATGATTACAAGCCCAAAGTGCTTGCTGAAAAGCTTTTCCATATTTTCTTTTCATTGCACAATAGTCTAAAACTTTAAGCAATACTGTAAATCTTCCCCGAAGGAGATAAAAATGAGGCAGCTCATCCATACCAGAAATGAGACACATGGATCACTTGCCTAAATCCCC